CAAAAAGAAAGCACCCGGTTGTAACCCCACGAAACAAAAAAAAAAAAAAAAAAAAAAAAAAGTAGAATGAATAACTGTTATATTTCCATGATGGAAATTTATAAAGCAATTAAGAATATAGTTTTGCTGCAGGCGACAACATGGATCAATCTCAAAAACATCACTTAGCAAAAGAAGCCACATATAGAAAGGCACATGCAGCAGCAAGGTGGTCCCAGGACTCACGGAGGCTGAGGCAGGAGGACGGAAAGGTCAAGCCTTTCTGGGCTTGGTTACTTTTCTCATGGCTGAGACAAAATACCCAAAACCCAAGGTTAAAGGAGGAAGGGTTTATTCCGGTTCACAGTTTGTGTAAGTTTCAGTCCGTAGTCAGCTGCTCTAAGGTAGGGTGCATGGCGGAGGGGCATCACAGAGGAAAAACAGTCCATGGCAAGCAGGGCAGGCAGGAGCAGAGAAGAAGCATGCAGCAAGCAATGACAGCAGCCCTCTTTCCTCCCTTGTATTCTATCTGGGCTACATGACCTCAGGGGAGGTAGCACTCACTCCCAGGGTGGGACTTCCCATTATCTACACTCAGAACTATGCCAAACCATCAGTGGAGCGTTTAGTGACCACACACCCTTAATCCCAGCATCACACACCCTAGATCCAGCCACCTCTGAATATCTCTACGACCACATGAGGCTTTGGGGGGTCATCTAGACACAAACTATCCCAGCAATTTCGTGAGACTTTGTCTCAGAATAAAAAAAGGGCTGGGATGTAGCTTAGTGCAAAGGCCCTAGGCTCCAACCTCAAAAGAAAAGAAAAAATAAGTATGTGCTTTTATGATTATTTTTACATGAAGTGCAAACAGGCCACTCTAATCCACTGTTTAAAAGCCAAACAGCTGACAGTCTGCACGGGAGGCTGTCCCACGGAGGCAGAGACCTGAAGAGTTGGCAATGGGGTATTTACGGATCCAGGTGTAAGCGTGTACTCCAAGGCTATGTTCCCTTTGTGAAAATCCACTATACTGGGCATACTTTAGCACACTTTTCTATATTCTTATTATATTTCAAAAGACAGTTAGAGGGCCGGAGATTTAGCTCAGTGGTTCTGGCACCTGCCCGGCAAGCACAATGTCCCAAGTTCAATCCCTGGTACGGAAATAAAATAAAATAAAAGACAGTTATAAAAGACGATGAAAGTACCCAATTCTTTCTTTTTGCACCAGGGATTGAACTCAGGTCCCTGTGCTTGCCAGGCAGGTGTGGTGCCACTGAGCTAAGTCCCACAATTCTTACCTCTCCCTCTTCCCACCATTCCTTTAGCCACAGTGAATGTTTCCCTTTTCCAATTCATCTCCTTGTCCCACCCTCAGACTTCTCCAATCATCCCCCCAAACATATTGAGGTGCATGCTTTTCTGCCAAATGAAACTGAGCTGAGCATCTCTGCACGCTGCCTTTTCCCAGCAATCCTAACCGGACTCATCCCATGGTCACTCTGCACCTCAAGATGCAGAGGGTCTTCCTGGGTTTGATGCTGGGTGACAGCCTTTTTCCATCTCTTTCTTTCTTTTCTCTCTCTCTCTCTCTCTCTCTCTCTCTCCCTCCCTCCCTCCCTCCCCTTTCTGAGGCGAACTCTTGCTTATGTACCAAGTCTGGTCCTGAACTTGCAGAGATCCTCCTGCCTCAGCCTCCAGAGAACTGGGATTACAGGCCTGCACCATCATGCCATGCTCCACTGCCTTTTCTCACTAACACAGAGAGCTCTGATGACTGGGAGTCACTGTCAGCAGCAGAAACTCTCCAAGCGCATCACCGCCATCAGTGTCTCCCATTTCTTCTGTCCCCACTGCTAGCCCTCACTGCCCTCCGGTCAATACCTACAGTGATACTGAGCATCTCTAAGGACAGCAATCTTCCCACTAAAGCTATCTGTTCCCAGGAGATGCTGTATTTTACAGAGTCAGAAACTAGGCTTCAAAGGCCAGCCCCATCCTGTCCCCCCGGTCGGAGAGATACATAAAGGTTTTACGTATGGGTGGCCAGAAGAAAAATGTCTGTAACAGAGGATGCTGAGGCACCTCTCGCCCATGGAGCAGAAGCACCACACTCTCAGACTTCAGCATAAGAGGGTCCGGAAGAAGCCAGCGTCACACGTCTGCACTGCCCGTGGTCTGCACGCGTCTACTGTGACTTACGGCTGACACAGCTTGACAAGGTCCTGGTCAGTCGTGCCCGGCTGCAGTCCGCGGATGTACAGGTTGGTTTTGCTCAGCTGGTCACTGCCGTTGCCCCCACTGCTGCTGGTGGGGGTGCTGCTGCTTGGACTAGGTGGTGCCATCTGCTGTGACAATGACACATACGGCTGCCAGGAGACACAAAGAACAGAGGTCAGGAGCTCGAGGGAGATTCTGGCTCTGCGAAGGAAAATGTTTTCAAACGCTGACAACGATGAACTCAACAGGAGGGTTTAAAAAAGAAGAAATTAAAAATTAAAGGAATTCTGTCACAGAATAAAAAAATATGTAACTGTTCAGCCGGGCATGGTGGCGCTCACGTCTATAAACCCAGCACTCACGAGGCTGTGAGTTCAAGGCCAGCCTGGGCTACACAGTGAGACTCTGTCTCAAAAACTCCAACACTTTCTAGGATAAATCTATCTAGTGTCACTTCCCTGGAGTAACTGGCATCCTGGAGATGAATGCTAATTTCATCTCCAGACTATTTTTCCCGTCTCTCTCTCTTTTGGTGGTGGTGGTGGTAGTGGTAATAACTGGGGTAGTACTCGAGTTGGAGAAACAGGTAAGTCAAAAGGAAATTGCATTACAGTGTGTAAGAGCAAGGTGAGTAAGCGTAAAATACACCCTGGCATTTAAAATGCCTATTTCTTAGAGTAAGAGTTTGCTGAAAGCATTAATTTTTATTTATTTATTTTTTTTTTTTTGGTACTGGGGATCGAACTTGGGATCTTGTGCTTGTGAAGCAGACGGTGGAACCACTGAGCTAAATCCCTGGCCCCAAAGCAGCAATATCTTAAGAAGTCTATAGGATGAACAAATTTGCTATGAGAATCAAATAAGATACATGAAAAGCCTCTGCAAAAGGCAAAATATTTTCTTGAAAAGCAAGAGCAAGGCTGATGATGCATGCCTGAAGTCTCAGCACTCAGGAGGCTGAGGCAGGAGGATCACTGTAAATTCAAGGCCAGCCTGAACTATAAAGGGAGACCCTGACTCAATCCCCCCCACCGAAAAAACACTGGGGTACTAACAAAGGAAAAAGGAAAAGATGAATATCAAAAAAGGCAGCTCTTCTGCCAGTAGAATCTTTTTTTTTTTTTTTGGTTTTTTGAGACAAGGTCTCACTATGTTTTTGAGACTGACCTGGAACTCACTATGTAGCTCAGGCTGGTCTCAAACTCACAGCGATCCTCCTGCCTCAGTCTCCTGAGTGCTGGGATTACAGGCGTGCTGGGATTACAGGCGTGCGTCACCACACCCGGCCTGCCAGTAGAATCTTAATGTGAAATCTGCCTCTTATATTTCATACCTCTGACCCTTAGCAAATACCACAACAAAAGGCTGAGTACATAGTTTATTACTGGTAGAGTGCATAAGTGCTCTGGGGTTTTTTTGGTTTTTATTTTGAGACAGGGTCTCACTATGTAGTTCAGGCTGGCCTTGAACTCGCAGCAATCCTCCTGCCTCAGCCTCCCTGGTGCTGGGATTATAGGCGTGCACCACCACGCCTAGCTGTTGGTCTGGGTTGGACCCCCTTGCACACATATGCACACATGCATGCAAACACACACATGACAGACGGTAACAAGTGTCTGCACAGGCGTGAAGAAACTGGAACCTCACGCACTGCTGGTAGGATTGTAGTCACTTTGAAAACATTCTGCCAGTTCCTCAAGAAGTTAAACATGGAACTAGTATGTAACTCAAGAATCCCGCTACTAGTTATCTACCCCAAGAGGACTGAATACATATGCCCCTCACACATACTAGGCAAATGTGGAAGCAGTATCAATGTCCACCAACTAATGACTGGATAAATTAAATGTAGTATTCCGTACAATGGAATATTACTCAGCCATAAAAATGAACAAAGTACTGATTCATCCTACAACAGGGACAAAACTTGAAAATATGTACAAAGAGAAAGAAGCCAATAATATTGAACTATATGGTGTATGATTCTAATTATATGAAATGTACAGAACTGGCAGGCCTAGAGAGGCAGAAGTAGACTGGTGCTTTCCTAGTTAGAGGTTACCTAGGGTTGGGTAAAAGGAGTAGTGAGGATGTGAGAGATGGCTTTGCCATTAGTTTCAAGACCCTAAATGCAGAAGCAACCATTTTACCCCAGAGTTTAGACGGAACAGAATTTTTACCCAAAGATCTCAATGAAACTTTGTTTTCTTCAAAATTGGATTTAAAAAAAAATTCTCACTGCACAAAAATCTTGAAAACATAGTTTAATGTAAAATTCTGCTCCAGAACTGTTTCCGGACCTTACTGAGCTGGGAGGAAGATGCGAAGTGAAACAGAGCAGCAGCATCATTAGCGTTTCAAAGCTCACAAAAGAGACACTGAGAGAGCTCTGCCTCTCTTCAACAGCACAGTTGCTTCAGATTTAAAAAAAAAAAGAAGAAAAGGAAAAAGAAACTGTATGCTTTAGTTTACTTTATCTTGTTACTGACTTTGACTCCTTTTTTTTTTTTTTTTTGAGACAAGGTCTTGCTATGTAGTTCAAACTGGCTTCAAACTCATGGCAATCCTCCTGCCTCAGCCTCCTAAGTGCTGGGATTACAGGCCTATACCACCACAGTCAGCCCTACCCTATTTTCTTTTTTAATATTTCTTTGAGACAAGGTCTTGCTATATAATTCAGGCTAGGCCCCAACTCAGGACAATCCTCCTGCCTTGGCCTCCTAAGTGCTGGATGACAGGCATTATGCCCAACTAAATTATTTTCAACACTTTATATTACTTCATTTTGATCAGAAATATAGCGATCACACAGCTGAGGACCTGAGGAGATACCAGCATCCCCTTTCCTCACCTTCACACTATTCAAAGAATGCCCACATTGATGAGTAAGAATCTGGGTGTTTATACTATTGGGGTTGGAACCCAGGGATTTTGCACTGAGTATACTCCTAGATCTTCTTTTGCTTTGGGGATGTTTGGTTTTTGTTGGGTTTTTTAAATTTTTTAAATTTTTTTTTTTTTTGGTACCGGGGATTGAACTCAGGTCCTTGCACTTGCAAGGAAGGCCACTGAACCGCTGAGCTAAATCCCAGGCCCTGTTGGTTTTTTTTTTAGATAGAGTCTCCCTATGTCATTCAGGCTGGCTTTAACTCCCAGCAATCCTGCTACTTCAGCCTCCCAAGAGCTAGGATTACAGGATTAAACCATAAATCTCTTAATTCCCAGTCACTAATTTTTTTTCTTTTCTTTTCTTTCTTTTTTTTTTTTTTTTTTTTTTTTTTTTAACTCTGTAGTTCAGGCTGGCCTTAGACTCACTATATAGTCCAGGCTAGCCTCAAACTCACAGTGATCTTCCTGACTCAGCCTCCAGAGTGCTGGGATTACAGGTGAGCGCCACTGTGTCCAGCTTCTTCCAATTTTCTTTTCTTTTCTTTTTTTTAATCTTTTTTTTTTTTTTTTTTTTTTTTTTTTTTTGTAATCAAACTCAGGCCCTTGTGCTTGCAAGGCAGGCAGTGGAACCACTGAGCCAAACCCCGGGTCTCTTCCAATTTTCTACTATCACCTCTACTACCCACCACTTTCTCCCTTTTCTCCAGCCTTCTTCCCCTTTACATCTTTCTTCCTCCTCTTCCCCTCCTTATCTACCTTTGCTCAGGCTTACTACTGAATGGCTGTATTCGGTGGTTCCCTTAGGCAACTATCTTGGTTGTAGGATTAAGATTACTCACACCTTATTTTCTTTCATTTTAAAAAATATTGGCCGGGCGTGGTGGCTCATGCCTGTAATCCCAGCACTCAGGAGGCTGAGGCAGGAGGATCACTGAGAGTTCAAGACCAGCCTGGGCTACACAGTGAGTTCCAGGTCAGTCTCAACTACATGGTGAGACCCTGTCTCAAAAAAACATACAAAAAAAATAATATTTGTATTTGTATTAGTACATTTTTCAGTACATGATGGTTACATTCCTTGTGGGGAGTTGGTATACATATGTGTGTGTGTGTGTGTGTGTGTGTGTGTGTGTGTATATACTAAAAAAAATCTTAATTATTTTTCATTTCCTTCCCCTTTTTTCTTATTTTCTGGTAGTAGGGATTGAACTCAGGACCTTGCACTTGCCAGGCAGGTGCTCTGCCACTGAATCACATCCCCGACCCTCATTTCCTTCTCCTTCTACCTGCCCTGCTCTAACTCTTGATCTCCTTTTGTTTGGCAAAATATCTACCTCCCTATTTCCTATTGTCTTCTTACTTTGTTATTTATATTTTACATTTCTCATATAAGAGAAGCCATGCAATTTGTGTTTGTGATTGATTTCACTTAATATTACGATCTCAAAGTGCATCCATTTTCCTACAATGACTCATGTATCATTCTTTTTTTTTTTTGTACCGGAGATCAAACTCAGGTCCTTGTGCTTGCAAGGCAGGCAGCAGAACCACTGAGCTAAATCCCTGGCCCGTCATTTATCATTCTTTATGGCAGAGTAGTATTCCATTGTATATAAATACATTTCTTTTAATCCATCTGTTGATGGACATATAGGCTGCTTCCAAGATTTAGTTACTATTATGCTGATATAAACATGGGTACTCATGTATCACTGTACTATGATGTCTTTTTTTTTGTTTTTGGTACCGGGGATCGAACTTGGGTCCTTGTGCTTGCAAGGCAGGCGATGGAACCACTGAGCTAAATCCCCGGCCCTACTATGATGTCTTTATTTAAATCTTTTGGGAAAATACTTAGAAGAGGAATAGCTGAGTCTAATCCAATTTCTTAGTTTTTGGGGAACTCTCAAAACTGCTTTCCATAGTGGTAACACTAGTTTACATTCCCACCAACAAGTAGAAGCATTCCCTTTCCCTTCTGTAGCCTCACCAGCAATTTGGGGGGGCGGGTTGGAGACAAGATCTCACTATCTAGTTCAGACTGCCCTGGGACTCACTGTGTAGTCCAGGCTGGTCTCGAACTCACAGCGATCCTCCTGCCTCAGCCTCCCGAGTGCTGGGATTACAGGCGTGCACCACCGTGCCTGGCTCACCAGCATTTTTTAATACTCGATTTCTTGATGATAGCCATTCTTTCTGGAGTCAGATGGCATTTCTTTTTCTCCCCGCCCCCGTGCAAATTTTATTTAGCAGTCAAGAT